AATCGTAGATTCGTTCGTGTGTTGGTTGGGAGATTCGGAGAATTGGTGGTGTCGGGTCCTCCTCCTCTTCTTCTTCCTTTTATGGGTCCCGTTGTCTACCCCTTTCTACTCTTCTCGCCTTCAGACCACACAACCACCAGCCCAAACCCTTGCGACTCCGAAATTTTTATGAGCCCCACCGGGGTTCGCGTGTGAATCCGGCATTTCCCTCCGCTCTCCCTGACTTTTCGCCGGATTTTCGAATGGCGGGGGTGAGTTGGTTTTTGGGTTACTAGAATTTCTTAGGGGAGTTTGTTATTCAGAAATTCTGGTACTGGAAGGAGTATCATTCTGGAGAAAATGCACGAATAGCATCTTAAAGGGACAGTGACACACAAATTGAACAAGCTAGCCCGCTCTCAAGTCCTTCTTTAATTTATTAAAACTTCCAAGCATGTTTTCTAAGCCTCAATCTAGCTCTCATCATTAAAGAAGACACTTTTAAAGGCACGGCGAAGTTTTCGCGGAGCTATGAAGGCTTTTAAAGGAGCATTGAAGGCAATAATTTAGCAAGACTTTGAAAATGTATCTATATCTATCTGTTTAAAATATTTAAGTTAAAATATCTTTTTATTTATCTACTTAAAATTTTTATCTTCAAAAAATGGAAATTTCAACGAGTAATTCTATCATTAATGCGTTGCGTCGAAAATTAGCTAGCCATGTAGCTGCATCAAGCGTAATTATTGCAGGTATCTCGACCTACTTTTAAAGCTATGAATCGTCTAAACGTACATCGTCGTAACGTAGCGTATTTTACGTCAGACGTACCATTTAAAGGACCCTCTAAGGCCGAAAATCGGTCGTGAAAAACAACACTGCCGCTTATAGACTATAAAATGTCTAATTCTGCGTTTCCAGAAACTCACCATCGATCCGGCGCCTTCCGATCGTAGCCACAGTAGCTGAGCTTGCGCTGTTGATGAGGGAGCATCGCCCTAGAAAAGAAAAAGGTTACCGTATCCTGATTAACAATCAGGCATTAGATGATACGGAACGGAACGATCCGGATGAATGAACAAGGCAAAGAAAACACTACAAGGGCCGAGTGTTGTTATTCGGATTCATTAGACAAAAGGACATCAGGACTAGACAAATTCCCTGTGGTCGAGCTGAAATAGCAGGAAGGAATAAGTTATAATTGGAAGACAGGAAAGGGCAAAGCCGAAATTTACTCAAATACGCTGGATTTCATCGAAAAACCATGCTAATGGTTTTTGGAGCATGAACTTCATTTTTCAGTCAAAACTTAAAGCAAGCCGTGCAAAGCTAAATTTGAATAAACTAAGAAAAAGAGTCTTTGGTCTAGATGCCCTTAAAGAACCTAAACATTCAGGGATTCGCCAGAATGGAGCCAATCAGCTCCTCCTCCTCCTCCTCGCCCTGGCTCCTCCTCGACGTTGCCGCATTTCCGGAGCGTCGATTCCCCGCCGGAGCGTGAATCTCCTATTTTTGTTGCCATTTTGGGCGCAAAAGCAAAAAGGTTTAGGGTAGCGTGAGTTTTGGAAGCTTGCTCTTAGTTTCTAGGCACTCTTGGAGGTTTGCGTTGCGACGTAGCTGCTTCGATCGGGCTGATAACTCGGATGGATCCCATCTTTGAAAAGTTGTGGAACGACTACGATCCCGGATAGAAATTGGCTCTGAAAGGGCCGGCTTTGTCCATTTTTGAGCGGCGCCTACCAAAGTCTAGACTACGAAAAAGTTTTCTCGAGGACCGTAGTTGGTACCAGTTTTGAAAAATGGAATTTGTTCTGAATTTTAAGCTCTACCAAGCGCCAATCACTTGAAAGGATTCATAAACGACACCTTGATAGAAAAATCAAAAGACTTAAACGGCCCCAAGGAATTCGATGAAATGAGTGTCTGCGCGCCAGAATCCGTAATTGAAATCTTTGCAGATTGATGAAGGCCTTAATTTCTGATCGAGAGTTGGTCTAAAGTTGAGCAAAACTTTCGTTTGAAAAGGCTCAACTCCCGATTTGTGAATATTGTTGAGAGTGCAGCCATGATCCGGTCCCCCATCATATTTGATGGTTTCTCCAAGGCATACCCGAAATAAACATGTCTCGGAGGTTAAATCCATTTCATTAAATACAAATATTTATACCCCAAGATCTTCGAATTTCAGCGCTCCGATCCACTCCTATCCACGCCACCCCGCCCTACCGTAAACCGGCTAATCCGAAAATCCAAAAATTTCCCCACCCATGCAAAGGCATACAGCTCAAAAAAAAGAAAGCTCGAAATCACCATGCACTGGGGTAAGATGGAGGCGCTCAACCTGGCTCGTGACGAGAACATAAATCTTTTTGGAGTCGCCCGCCCCCGGGGCACTTATTCCCAGATATTCTCAACGATGTGCTGCGTCGGGCAATTTGCACGAATTTTGGAGGGTCTTTGATCAAACCCAGACCGGATGGATTTGGGCTTTCGGGTGGGAGTATGGAAATTTGGCAGCCGCACGCATGAAGGTCAAGAGGATGGTGGTGGGGCTAGGGGGTAAAAAGGGGCTTCAAGGCAGGTTTATAAATTTTGTTGGCTCTGGATGTAAATAGCTCGGGCTCTAGGAAAGCACGGCGCCGCGACACGCAACGCGCGGATCAGCGCTTTCTATGAGTAATGAATTATTGGGATTTAAGGAACATCATGGGGTGACACGTTGAGTTTTGCGGGTCCGGCAAAATCCATAGAAGTTCCTTACATTTAGGCGAAGTTTAGCGTCTTTTTTAAAGAAAATCCTTACCATGGCTTACCGATGCATTAAAGAGACAAGCAACGCAAGGGCTGCTTAATTGATCGCGTAATGTCTCATCATCTTTTATAAGACCCAGTTCCCTGTGGGTTAAGTGTTGCGGCTGAGTTCAAATTCCTACAAAATTAATATCCAAAAATTTACAGGAATGCGGGCCCGTGTCTTTAACGCAACCGCGCCGGGCTGAATTTTATGAACAAAACCTTGGAGCAAAAGTCAACCTCATCCCAGAATCTAACCTTCCAAAAAAGCACAACATGATGTTTGTCTTCCCATTTTTAGCTTGGGTTCCGGGAACATTTCGAGAATCTTGGATAAGAAAGGCCATTATGAGATTAAAGGAACGTTGAAGGTCGAAAAAGAGCACAAAGGGATAACCCGATGTTGGTCTATAACAAACAAAGTGTGAATTTGCGATTCTCAATGGCAGAAAAAGTGAGAGCGAGTGAGAGCGAGTGAGAGCGAGCGAGCGAGAACGGAGAGAGAGAGAGAGAGAGAGAGAGAGAGAGAGAGAACGAAAGAGTGAGAGACCGGTTGATAGAGAACGAGCGAGAATGAATGAAAAAGTGAATCAGAGAGCGCCGAGAGAATAAAATTCCCACAAAACCTCTGCTAGTCTACCAGCTAAAAAAAACTAGAAAGCTCAGCTTTTGCCCCAGGCATCTTCAATTCCATATTTGCCCTGGGGTGCCGTTCGTCGCGTGTTGATCCTTTTTGAAGAAGAGAAGAGAGGAGAGACAGGATCGCCCCTCCCACTAACCAAAAGCCTCTTTTTCCCCATCTCTCTTACCCTCTACGATGAAATGGCAACTCTGAAATTGGCTTTTTTAGGGGTGGCAAGGCTTTTCTAGCCTTTCCTGGGATCCGGAGAAAGACAGAGAGAGAGAGAGAGGGAGAGAGAGAGAGAGGAGAGAGAGAGAGAGAGAGAGCGAGCGAGCGAGAAAGAGAGAGAACGAGAGAGCGAGAGAGCGAGGGGGCGAGACAGAGCGAGAGAGTGAGAGAGAGGGCGAGATGGTGCACTGGAGATAACTTCTAGGGCAAGAAATAGATGCTAGAAGAGGTGGATACTTCCGTGTTGGACGGATAACTTCAGTGGAGCGATCAAAATCTGGGCAATTATTTTCTAGGCATCGTTAAGGTGTTAGATAGCTATGGTAATACTGTAAAAGTATCGAATATTAGGATTTCATCTTCCATGCATCATTTTAACGACTATGGATGATTAAATTCATTCTTTTGAGAACTTTAGTGGCCTTACAAAATATATGGGTGGATTGATTATTATTAATGCCTTTTGCGCAAAAAAAAATTGTGACTCACCCTTTTCAAGCACAAAAAGTGTTCCAATTTTGGAACAGCAGGCGCCGAACAGGTGATTTAACTGAGAGACTAATAAAAAAATCCGGCCAAAAGCTGAATAATGAACTAGAACAACTTCTAGCTATTTCGCCACTTTGAATGCTTCGAAGAACTCCAATACGATTATCCTAAAGACGACTAATTGTTAGTAAATTCAATTTATACTGAACTTTTACCTCAAAAATCTAAAGTCCAAAAGTCAAAAATTTATATTTTAAAGGGACGGTGACAGAAGTGTTCGGAGATAAAATAAATGCTGCGCTGAATAGGCTAGCAGAGAGTTTTTTGAGCAAAGCTACTTTATCGTGTAAAACGGGGTCGCAATCTGTGCTAACGCTACTCCAATCCTATTTCACGCCCAAAATTCAACGAAAATACCATGTAAAGAAATGGGCAGTTGCGCGTCATGAGAAAATGTAGTCCGGTGGTGGTTATACAGCACCCGCTATTTTCGCCTTCCCCTGACTGGCTAGATCCCTCGAGGGGCCCATACAGTGGCGGTCAAAAGTTTATAAAATTTCTTATTTTGGCCATTGCTCGGCACTCGTTTGTAACAGAAACCTAATATTTGGCACACATGTGCATAAAGTGATGCAGAATACGACGGCATAACTTTTTTTATTATAAAACGCACACAAAATTTTTTTTAGAAGTTTTACGAAGAAGGCGGCGTCATAAGTTTATAAAATTTTGTTCGAGGCGTCAAATATAGACGAGATCGGCCTTCCCAAGGATGAGCAAGGTTTTTAAATGTTAGATTTAGACTCTGTCTACAGTTTCCCGTTGCATATTTGACTCCAAACTTTCTAGACAATGTTTTCTAAAACACTATTTTAGTATGAAAATTGCACTTTTTCGGCTCCACCGGAGTATCGTTCCGTACGCATGGAATACAACAATACGGTCGGAAAGCGCAGTTAAAGAGGAGCATTTGGGTATAGCATTCAATGCACGATATTGTGAACGGAAGAAGATATAGATGGTCGAAGACAGGGCCTCGCCAATTTCGGCTGTCCGGACAGGCCCGGGCTCCCGATTACTATGATGCCTGCTTGCCGCTAGCTTCGACCGTCCAGTATTCGATGAAGGACCGGTTACATGTGATGCTTTATACACCAAAATGCTCCTCTTTAGATGCGCTTTCCGGGCGTATAATTGTATTCCTACGTTACGAAAAGATACGGTACGCTGGAGCCGAAAGTGCATCCTATACTAAAATAGTGTTTTAGAAAAAATTCTTTAAAAAGTTCCAAGTCATATCTGCCACGGGAAACTATAGCCGGTGTCAAAAGTTAATATTTACAAACAATGGTCATCCTTGGGAATCCCGATCTCGTCTATATTTGAGGCCTTTACCAAGATTTTATAAACTTTTGACGCGGTCCTTTTCGTAAAAATTTCCAATTTTTTTTCGTGGGCGCTTTTATAGTAAAAAGAGTATTGTCGTTCTATTCTGCATCACTTTATGCACAAGTGTGCCAAATATTAAGCTTCTGATGCAAACGGATGTCGAACTATGGTCAAAACACTAAATTTTATAAACTTTTGACCGCCACTGTATACCGACAAAAGGGACACACACGTGCCCTTGGAATGTCGCCCGGAGGAACACGCACCACATGCAACGAACGACGGATGGACACTACACACCCCCGTTTGTCCGGGGTATTGTTGCGGATGTTTCGGCGGCGTCCGGCTTGTCCCTCTTGGGAATCATTACAAGGGCGGATAAATACCGTCGAAATGGATGGAGAGTGATGTTCGAACACCTAGTTTTTGCTCAAAAAATCATACAAAGGGTCCGGCAAGGCAACGGGAGTTGCAACGACACTGGATAACCTTTGCGATAACCAGAGAAAAATATTCGTTCACGATGGTGTCGCGTCGCGCTCAACTTCAGCTCTAACTCCGGCACAAGCCTTGTCAGCGTGTCTCACAGGTCGAAGATCAGGAACAGCGATCAAAACTAACTCGAAATAGACATGGAGCGACAAAGCGAGAGCGAGAGTGAGAGAGCGAGAGCAAGAGATATATAGAGCGCGAGGGAAGGAGAGAGAATGAGAGCGACAGCGAGCAGGAGAGAAAGCGAGCGCGAGAATGAGAGTGCGAGTGCGACGATTATAGAGACGGAACCAATGAAAGAAAAGCGAAAGCATGAGAGAGCAGGGGGAGAGATGGAGAAGGAGAGCGCGATGGAGAGCGACAGAGAGCCTGAGAACGAGAAGGAGCGAGAGCCAGAGAGAGAGCGAGAGAGAGCGAGAGAGGGCGGGCGAGTGAAGGATGAAGAAGATAAACGTTAAATTGGCAATATTGTCCTGCCAATTCCCAATCTTGAGAGCTGCCTTACGAGCATTAACGAGCAGTTTAATTGCTTTTAAGACAATTTTTAGGGGGACTGGTATGATACCTTTGAAAAAGCAACAATTTGTCGATAGTTTTGGGACACGTGTAATTTTTCTGCAAACGCTTCATAAAAACATACCAAGATTAACGCCGAGGAGCCCCGACAGTCGGAGCAAAGCACAAATCAACGCCATTGGCGCTGCATTCAGCTAACCTTGCAAAACATTATGTAAAATATGCAATTCCTGGACCAGCGCAACCGATAGGAGCGCGTTGTGTATGTAATGAATATATCCTTTTTCCAGCTTCCCTCTTTCCCTTTTTAGCCGGGCCCACCGGCTATAAAGAGCCACCAACAGCAAATTTATTATGCATCCGCTGGCTATGGGGTGGCTTTTCAGGTGGTCCCAATGGGAAGTGAAAGGACCACCAGTTTTTTTGATGAAAGATGAATGTTGCGGCATGGTGAAAGGCTGCTTTTCAGTAGCAATCTTTGGTCGTGTATTTTTATTAAATTGGAGGGTGGTTGATCAGGGTTGGAAGCGAGAGAGAGAGAGAGCGATAGAGAGAGAGAGAGAAACACTGCTCTTGAAGAATTTGCACTTCTGCTGACTATAAAAGCAAAAACAGTAGTATTTTGTCTTTCCGATTCAGCGAGGTCCTCTGAAAATAAAAACGCCAAGACATAATAATGCTATTTACATACAAAATTCCGAGAATGGCACATTCCAACAAGAGAGGAAAATACGGGCAAGCTAGCAGAGGTGCTTCAGGAAGCTGAACACGATAATTGATTAATTTTTGGGGCGGATGATTAGAAACAGATTATTGGAACAGGAAGGTCAGCAGAGCTTTTTAACGAAATTTTCTGTTTCGTTGGAACGCAAATATCCATTCGGATCCGGCAGAAAAAATATTATGACGTGGGCAGGCCAGCAGAGATTTTTTGGGGATTTTTCTGTGTTCGACTGGGCTCGAAAACGGACAAACGGGAAAGGACATCATTGCGAAGTGGCGATTTGTCGTGTTCGAATCCAGATTAAGTTTTCTTCCGGCGCTTTTTCACCAGGTGAAGCAGGATTTCTCCGGGCAAACCAGCAGAGACCCTTCAGGAAAGGCGATTGAAAATACCTGGTTGTTGACGCATCATTTTTCCAGTTGAAATGTCTGATTGAGTAGATTCCCCGCTCGCAAGCCGCAGAATCTTCAAAACACGGCAGTGAAACCTATTTGCGTTCGAAACTTCAGGTTTCAGCTGAGCCCTCGAGGGCACGCTAGCTGAAACGTTTAAGGAACCACATTTCAGAAGACTCCGATGAGACACCTTAGTTTTCGAAACCCCAGATTTCGATATGTCATCCACCCATCGGAGCGACTCATCCTATCCCAGCTTCTCCCCCCTTCCATTGCGTGTCCCAACCCCCTTGATAATTTCAGGTGCGTCAGGGAGATGTGGAAGTCCCGAAAAGGACGTGCCGACCGTTAAGTTTTACGGCCACCACGGGCTGCACAAATATTCTATCGGGGGGTGGTGAAGACGGCAGAAGGTGACATGGGCGTTTTGTTATCTGAACTGGGGCGATGACTCGCCTGCCTGAACTTGGAAGGAAAGTGTCAGCATTTCTTGCCAAACAGGGACTGGTGTTTTCGGCGATACTAGTATATTTAAGGATCCGACTTTCCTGTGGTCTCTGTATCAAATTCGCCTACAAATCCATAATCTCTCAATCTCATTTTGTTGTTAAATTTGTATTTTAAACACCATTTTTGAAAATCGGGTAATTAGCCATTTTTGTCAACCCTAATAGATTTTTACGCATTGTTTGAATTGTATTTGAAGCTTTATAAAGGGTCAACCGTTTTTTACGCAAAATCTAGGCTAAAAAGGTTGCAGTCTCTTCAATTCTTTTTCTTAAAATAAACTGGCTCAGCAAAAACTAAATGTAAAATTTAGGTTCGTCCAGTATGCGGGAATTTTGTTTGGTGCTTCTAATTCTTGCCACAATTGTTGAAGCTGCAGTCATTCAGCATAAAATTAAATGGCGCCAGTCAGAACGCATGAAAATGGCAAAGTAAGTTGTTGATTACGTGAAAATATTTGAATACCCTTTTTTTAGATCCGGCCAATGGAAAACTTTCTCGGAAAGCCGGAAGCTCAACCTTGCTGCGCCGAGAGTTTTTGCATCGCACCATCAGGGCGTAAGTTAGAGGAAGTGAGAGCGTTAGAGCGGGATGGAGAAAGGGATAGAGGGAGAGAGAGAGAGAGAGAGCGAGAGATAGAGAGAGAGATATCGAAAAAGGCAATGAGATATCTTCACGTAAATTCCATAAATTTCCAGTTAATGGATTACTACGATCTGGAATATATTGGCGAAGTCACGATCGGGACGCCACCTCAGACGTTTAATGTCGTTCTGGATACCGGATCGGCCAATTTCTGGGTTACGTCCAATATTGCCCCGTAAGCGATACTTCTAGATACAATTAGCGCTCCAGAAAGCGAGAGACTAGGTCACACACACAGAGAGAGAGAGAGAGAGAGAGAGAGAGAGAGAGAGAGAGAGAGCGAAAGAGAGAGACAGAGAGATAGAGAGAGGGAGAGAGAGAGAGAGAGAGAGAGAAGACATAGAGATACCAAAACTAAAGCTTTAATCATTTCAGGAGCGGCCGAATTCCAAACACCTACAATTCCAATGCCTCAACAACCTATGTAGCCGATCCGAAAGCTTGGGAAATCGAGTACGGCAAGGGGAAGTGCAGTGGTGTCCAGGCACGCGATACCATGGCTTTTGGCACCGGCAAGGATGGTAGGTAATTTTAGATTAATTAGCTTTGTTTTTCTTTTTTTGAGCTTGTATTTCCATGGAATTACTGTACGTTACATTCTGATTTTCCATACGCTACTTACTCAATATACGATTTAGAACTGCGAGTACCAAACACGACGTTCGGGATGGCCACCGATCTCTCTGCTGACATGACGAGTCAAGCGGTACCTAAATTCAACGAATTTGTAGTTCGGCGTTTAGAACTTTGACGGTATCCTCGGGCTTGGCTTCCAATCACTTGCTGTTAATAATATTCTACCGCCACTGATGAACGCGCACGCTCAAGGTAAGGATGGAGGTTACCCGAAGTCACCTGACTAAAACGACGAAAGCTCAAAATCGATACTTTAAAGGGGCCAGGAAGTCAGGTCCATTCCATCGGCGTCGATTTCTGTCAAATAGCCGTATACGGACGCAGCGCGACCGCCTCGCATCTTTATCCCTGTTTTTGGGCTTGAAAGTGCGTGAATCGCGAAATTCTGACGTTTCTTCTGGTATCCGCGCGGTTACGCCGTGAAATTTTGCGTACAGATCTGGAAATTCCGAGCCTCAGTATCAAGTTGGGTATCAAGATGGAAAAAATATGACAGTTTTGTTTTCTTCCTTAATTTCAATTTTCAGGACTCCTCGACGACCCGGTATTCACGGTGGTTCTTGGACACCGTAACAACGACGCGGGCCCTGCCGGGCAGATTACCTACGGAGCCATCGACACCGAGTCGTGCACTTCCAACTTTTCCTGGGTCCCACTGAGTCGCGCGGCTTACTGGCAATTTACGGTACGTTTTTGCTAGTTTTTCATCAGTTTTTATGACTTGTAATGCAAGAATTCACCTAGATATGTCGCAATTCAGAATGCGGAAATTTTATGACGTCGAAGTTTCAAAATTTCGATATTTTTCCTAGATTTGCGGAGATTTGCTTATTTAAATCTCGACCTTGTCAAATTACGACATTTTGAATTTCGATATTATGAAATGTCGGCATTTAAATTCCACATTATAATTCGGACCTTTTAAAGTAGGCCCTCCCTTTCAGGTGTCGAAAGCCAGGTTCGGGGCGTTCAGCGGCGGTCCCTACGAGGTCATCACCGACACAGGCACCTCGTTCATCGGTGGTCCCGTTGATGCCATTACCGCTATTATACAGGCTCTCGGGGCTAATGTAAGTCTCGTTAAAAGTTAACGAAATATGACGGCTTTATTTTAGTATGACGACCAATATGATATGTATATGACCAGCTGTAGCGGCGATTTTCCGGATTTCGAACTGACGATTGGTGGCAAGGTGTACAGCGTGACGCCGGTAAGTTCAGGATTCGTACAATTATCAAAATAATTAACTTTACTAATTAATAATTTTTATTAATTTTCTTTAATTTAATTAATTTAATTTACAGTGTTTTAGAAAAACTATCTGCTAAACGATTTTGATGGCACAACCTGCGCGGCCGCCTTCTTTGCCTTTCAGAGCGACAGTCCAAGTAAGCTTGTAAGAAAACCCGTTTTTAAACGGCAAACATGTTAAAAAAAAACTATAAACTATATAATTATCATTATATGATGATTTTAATAATTTATAAAACATTTTAGACGCTCCAAAATGGATCCTTGGCGACCCGTTCATCCGCCAATTTTGCCACATCCACGATTTTGGCAACAACCGACTTGGGTTGCCCACACAGAAGAAAAAATCCGCCTCAAACTACTACTTTTTGACGGGTCTTATTGGTGCGATTATGATGAAATTGTTTTGAGTGATAAAGATATATTTCCACAAGACAAGACTTAAAAAACAGCCAAAAGCTCCGCTCCACTCCCGCTAGCTAAAATACCGACTTGAAAATTGTGTCTAACCGGGTCATAACCGTGGCAGACAAAAATGCCGACAGCCAAAATAAAAATCACGATAGGCCAAAATGTTGACAGCCAAAATGCCGACAACTAAAACCACGACAGCCAAAATCCCGACAATGACAATCACACCGGCCAAATTGTCGACAGCCGAAACCCCGACAGCAGAAATACCGACATATTCCGAACAACGGTTTAAATGCGCTCCATTTAAACAGCTGCTTCGTATCTCGCTATCTAGGCTGTCGGCATTTTGGGTGTCGGCATTTTGTTGTCGGGATTTCGGGGTTTTCTCAGGAAAACTACATTTTCAGTTGCATTTTCACCTTGATAACAGGCTAACCGGCTTTTGATAAAAAGGGTGTTGTGACACCCTAAAGGCTTTTAAATGACGGTGTTTTAAAATTGGGCGTCAGTGGTATATTTATTAACAATTTGAACCGGATAATTCAAGAACTAACACAACATAATATCAAAGTTTCGAAGGGGAATTCGGAAATCGACCGAGTTGGAGAGATTTACTGTACGGAAAGGGACTCGTGGGATATCTGAATTTGGGCACGTCCAAAAATCAGGGTGCTTTCCGGAATTGGAAAGCTGATCCCCGGAATCGGTTTCGGAGATGGATTTCGGAAATGCTATTTTTGCGTGATTCGCTGCTCTCGTCGCTTGCAGCCATACAGTAAGTGGACTGATTCAGGCGATCGTGGGTAGTTGAGCGAAGTCAGAGTCAGAGACTCCTGAGCCTTTTATACTAACCCTGTGAGCGGAACTTATTCTTTTCGAAAAGACGTCTAATTCCGGAATTCCATCTCGGAATTAATTTCGTAATTGGCAGACTACTTTGTTGTTTATCGATAGTTCTCGCTTTCCCCCTGATCGGGTCGGTTTCGACAGTAACCTATCTCGGAATGGTCTTTCGGAAAAGGGCATCGGAAAGGTTTACACGTGGCCGCGGTTGGGTCACGGTAATATTATATACGCTTTGAGTGTATGTGATTTACCCTAGGCCGAGGGGTCCACAACGCCGATGGCACTTTGGAAACTTTAGTTAACTTTTCTATTATTTCTATTATTACATTATAAATTACACCTGTTCTGAATGGTCAGTAGTAATGGGATTCCCACGACAGTTGTACCTGTGAAGCCCACAATGCAATTTGTCAGTGTTCTTAAATAGGCGTTGGGCGTCACTGGGGCATAGTTTATTAGAGAATAAGATTAAAGGCTTAATGAATATAAGAATCGGATAATTCACAAGGCGGGGTGTTATTATCCAGAAATGGACCGTTTAATTGGTAAAATGCGATTTCTGTTCACTCTCAAATCGTGCAGTACCGTAGCCTAGTCTGGGCCACGGAAGCAGGGAGCACGAAAGGCTGTGAGCGTGAGTGTTTTCAGAAAGTGCCCAAAAGAGCGCCTGGGGTCCTTTTTATACTAGCCCTTTTGGGGCGGAGCTAGATAGTTTCGAAACAGCGCCCGCGAGGCCCTAACAAGCCGAATTCCAGAATTCCACCAGGAATTTCGGGAATGCATTTAGAAATTGCCGAGGGCTACGGTTGGATCGCGCTTGCCCTTTGTTCCTATTAACCACTGTGTGATCGAAAGGTTTCGCCCCAGGTGACTACGTCACAGCTCTCGCTTTACCCTGAAAAGGGTCCGTTCCGACAGGGGGTGTGGCACCCACAAAGCTCTATGTCGGTGTTCTTAAATAAGGTTTGGGCGTCACTGGGGTATATTTCATTATACGAGAAAGTTAATGGTTTAATTATTACAACAGCTTATATTTCACGAGGGCGAGTTACCCAGGAATGAAATTTATGGTTAATAAATTCCAATTTCTCTGGAGTTCACAAATCGTGCAAAGTCGTCGTAGCCTAGTCTGGGGCCACGAAAGCAAAGGAGCACGATGGGCTGTGAAGTTTTTCAGAGAGAGTTCAAGCCCGGACAGGCTTTTTATAGTGGGGCCCATACAGACTCCGCCCAGCACCTGCTTACTTTCGAAACCTTGGTGGATTTTTGAAATAGGGGCCCCGCTGCTCTTAGTCAATTTAAGCATTTCCATTCCTGAATAGAATGGTCGGATTTAGTAAGTTCCGACAGGGGGGTCGCTTTTTAGCATTCAACTGTGCCGGACGGTGTAAAGTCCGGCCCTAACGGCTATAATATGTCGGTGTTCTAAGATTGGGCGTCACCGGTATCTTTTATTAACAAGTTGTTTGCACACAATTTAAAAATACGCCCTAAACACCCGGGACTTTGAGGAATTTCGCAAATCTGGATTTTTTTTATTTTTTATTTTTTTTTCGCAATTTGCGAATTTAGAGAGCGGTTTTCCGGAACGGAATGGAATTCGGAAAGGAAAGTCGGAAAGGGGGGTTTTCCGAAAGGGAATTCGGAACGTAATTCGTGGGTTTCGCTGCTCTCTCTCTCTTCGCCTGTAAGCCCTACTGTATGCATTGAGGCTTGGTCAGGCGGTTTGAGGGAGTTTTTAGCGAAGTGTTAGAGGAGCGCCTCGAGGCTCTTTTATACCAGTCCTTTTTAGGCGTGGCTGGATAGTTTCGGAAATGCCTCCCTATGAAGCCGAATTCCGGAATTCCACAGGGGAGTTCGGAATGAATTTCGGAATGATTGGGGGACTACGGTCGGGTCTGCGTTGGCTCTTTGTTTATACTCTAGCTCTGGTTTTCCTAGGATGCGGTCGTTCCGAAAGGGTATTTAGGTATCCCCCTAATCAGTATTTAGGGGGATTTCGGAAATCGTAAGGAGTTTCGGAATTCTTCAAGGGTTTCTGAATTTCGGAAATCCGAGAGGAATTTCGAAAACGCCGAGAGGACTTGGAAACTTTATTGGCTTTTTATTTTATTTTTATTATTACATTATACTGCACCTGTGTTGAATGGTCAGTATCATTATAAATGTGCACTTCTAGACTTTGATAAGCGTGGGCAGCCCACCGAATTAAACGTCTAGCCTCGGTGACGGTACGGGGTTTCCATGGGGCGGATTGTTTAGAACGCCCTTGAAGTGTTGTGCAGAGTCCTTTTGAATTCTACGAATCCTATAAATTTTTGGAGATAACTGCTTTTCGGAGCCAAAGATTCATGTCAAGAAGATTTCTTCTTGGACTTCCGGTACGTTTTGGCGGTGTGCGCCTTCCAAGAGAGGCTTCCCCTGCTTTCTAACGCCCTAGAGGGATGGAGAGGCTGACCATTTGTCGCCTTTAATTTACATTTTTTTGGGTTTTTTAATTTTTCAGAGAGAGTAATCATGGTAACTTGTAATTTGGAGAATTAGCGTGGTAGAATGTGGCCCAGGTGGTAATATGCCGACGCACCAAAATGTGGCGCCCTATATCCTTTTGGTGTTCGAATAAATTAAACGGACACCCGGGGTATAATTCATTCAGGGCAGAAGCAATCAGTAGATTTTGAGGACTTTATATGAATGTAATGTCCGGCGAATTTGAGGTATTTTCGGAGCCTGGTACGTTAACGGAGTATCCATAAGCAGAGCTGCTACGTTGCAGTGCAATTGTTGGGCCTACTTGTCGAAGAGTGCCTGAGGCTGTGCTCCCTGGCGCTTGTGAACAAATTCGCCTGAGACTGGTGTTCAAAATTATTGGAAGTGGCGTTTTGGGAGCGAAATTAGGAGCGTAATCTGGTCACAATAGATGATAATCATCTTCCAGAGATGCGGACTTGGCTTAGGCAAATGTGGCAGTTGAGTGCTTTTGACAGTTTTCTTTGGCATGGATTCTCAACATAATCTTGTGGTTTGTACTAACCATTCAGAAAAGCTCAATTTTTGAACGGACCTTATCGGATTTGTTTTTCCTTTAATATCTTTGCCTGGGACTATAATTTAAAGGAACTCGGGGCCCATGTAAATTTACAGAGGATCGACATCATCCGGCCACATCAAGCGCGGATGTCCTGATTTGACACAGTGGTGGCAAGTGGGTCTCCACGGCACGGGACATACTTAGGGTGGCCGATCAGAGAGCAACGCACTTGCTTTAGATTGCTAGCAGCAGTGGTATTTCGTATGCAGATGTGTATGTACGGTCTGCGCCTGTTGTTCCGTTAGAACAAAGTAAAAATAAAACGTGCCGTCTTTGACGTTTTTCCTAAGGTCTTGAATTTTGGGTAGAAGCCGTGACCTTCTGGCTATAAACCCGTGGTGTAGCGGTAAATAAACCGCGCTTTTGTTGCCGCGGGGTGTTAGGGCGGATGAAGACTAAAACTTTGGGGGGCGGGGAGCAAAAATGGGAAAACCAGATTGACGAAAAAGAAGAAAGGGCTAAGCTTTATCCATTTCTTACTATTAGGGGGTAGTTCCGACACTCCCTGCGGCGGCAAAAATTTAGCTTTTGTATCAAATAATGTGGACCTGTTCTTCTGCAGTATGAACCTTCTTAGGCAAATTATAAGAGCGGAGTTGGTATCAACGCATTCTACGCAAGTTCAACGTTGCAATCGAATTGACAGAAAAAAAAATTGCAAAAATTGAAAGAAAGATCGCAAGCTACAATAATACTATCAGATTTCTGGAGGCCCGAAATGTCGGTCATGAAATATTGCGGATTCAAAGGCGCATTTCTGGCACCGTTTTTGGATTTCAAAGGCTGCGGCTGCTATGTTGGGCTCACGGAATACGGGTAGAGCTTGCTGTCGGGATCTTGGCACTTCTTCAGCGGCAAACATTTCCATTATCCCGATTATCTAAATTTTTATATTTTTGAGAGGTGAGCGCCCGGGATGGCGATTTGTGCGTACACAACGATCTTACTTGGTCAGTGATATCCAGTTCCTGAAGGCTTTTGTAAACGTTACTCGATCTCCTCGACTGTAAAGTAAGGGCGGTAATTCTCGGCAATTAGTATATAACAGCCGGTACAGCCGGTACAGCCGGTACAGCCGGTACAGCCGGTACAGCCGGTACAGCCGGTACAGCCGGTACAGCCGGTACGGCCGGTACAGCCGGTACAGCCGTTTCGCGGTATATGTAATTTACGCATTTATTGGTGTTATTTATTAAAATTAAAGTTAGTTTTTACTATAATATGTCGTAATTGGTCAGCTAACGTGCCAGAGAGTACTTTATAGGTGAATTGAGCTATTTGGGGCCGTAATATCTGCATTATACACCGTTTTTAGCATAGATTCTTTGATTCTTTCATTCAATAATTTAGTTAATACATATTATTGATTTCAGTTTCTTTCTGTACTGTAACAGAAGCTTTTCTAGGTAAGCATCGCTTGTCGGAGTCCAGTTGCTGCCCTTTCTGTGCATTATTATTCATTTCCAGTGCAAAAAACGTTGTAATCCTCGCAGAATAATTCAATTATAGCAGCTAGGTTGTTCTTGGCAAGCGTGTATGCGTTGGGGTAGCACTAACGTGGTTAGCTACGTGACAGACTTAGGCGGCTTTGCTTTGTGAAAGAGGTTGGCTTAATCTCAGCCGAATTTCCAAGCCTAAACACCGTTTAGCTGCGCTACAAGCTTCTGGCACTTATTGTTTTCTTATAACTAGGTTTAACGCAGCTTGACTTGGCTGTCAGCGAAACTAAGCCACCGCGTAGACTTGGCTTCTATTGGCTCACCTTTAAAGCTTTGATTTTAAGGATGAAGTGTTAAACTAAACTGAGGGAGCCTATTCGCTATTTTATTTGTAAGTTTATAACTTACTAGCTAATTCTGCTCATCTGTTTCCGCTTTTCCCTTTATGAGCACAGCCGAGCAGCAACGTTTTTAGCAGCCAAGAAACTTTTAGCTCGTCATGCAGAGCCAATTTTTCACGCAAGTATCTTCAAACGATGTTTCTAAGCTCTAAGCTTAAGGAAAACTAAGCTAGCTTCTGCCAAACTCTAGTATGACCAAGTCTAAGCGTCGCTTAAGCCACGTTGCGCTGGGCTGTACGCGAAGCTCGCCAACTTACTTGTTTTTGAGACGAGCGGTATATTAAAGCTAAGATCCGCTACGCTAGTGCTTCAGTTAAGCATGCTAAAGCAAAGCTAAGCCTGTGCTTCAATTAAAACCTGAGTAATTTCAGCAAAGCGCCTAGTAAGCTTCTACCCTGGAGCCAAAACCGCCCGCCACGTGCGCCTGCGTCAACAATCGATCTAAGCATACAATTTATAGTTTCGGAGTTAATAGCACACTACAATGAAAGTCTGTCAACATTAACTTAACGATAAAACCATAATTCAACCTTCCAACAGTACTACCTTCGAGAAACCATATGTTAAAGGACTAAAAACGAGTAATAAGGCACAGAAACATCAAAACTGGGCTCCGACAAGGGATGCTATAATATAAAGGCTTCTGTAACCTTGAATGAAGTCAGTGAAATCAATTTTATGTATTAACTAATTGTTTTAACGCTCAAATCAAAGAGTCTCTGCTAAAAACGGTGAATAATGCAGATATTACAGCCCCGAATAGCTCCATTCTCCTATAAACTGTTCTCTGGCGCGCTAAATGACTAATTACGACATATTATAGTAAAATTTACTTTAATTTTAATAAATAACAACAATAAAATCCGTAAATCACATATACCGCGAAACGGCTGTACCGGCTGTACCGGCTGTACCGGCTGTACCGGCTGTACCGGCTGTACCGGCTGTACCGGCTGTACCGGCTGTTATTTACAAATTGCCTAATTCTCCCCTGCCACCAAGTGCAATTATTCAATACAGGATGTCAGTATTCCGGTCTAAATTCGGTCAATAATTTGATTATTTCGTTTTCTTGTATTGAACCAACCTTGCATTAGCTTTTTTCAAACTGTAATGATCATTATTCAGTGATGATCGAAATAATCGCAGTATCGCCGAGGATGATAGGTAGTCGGCACGTTGAGGTAAAATCCTCCAAATTCTGCAAAATTCGTAGGGAACTGCAAAACAAATTTTCGTCTTCTTGTTTTTTAATCCATTTTTCAACAAAAAAAGAAAATTTTGGACTCAGTCTTCTGGTATTCTAATCCGTTGCGCTGTCGTAATTTAACTCTTAGGTTTAACTGATTTCGTTTTGCCTTGTTTAGGGGCACTGGCGACATGAAAGACCACGTTTCAGAAATCCATAACGAACCTACAGCGAAGGACGGCCTTCATTCTGGACTAGTTCCAGCAGCTCTGGGCCCTCAGCTTTACTGATGTAGTCCGCTGGTGATAATTCGATCCATTCGAAAAGTTCTGGATCAAATTCAGGGCATCGATGTCGGCCAGTTGAGCTGTTTCAGATTCACATCTGAATGGCATTTTTTTTCTTCTATTGAACCTACGAATTTGAAAACAGTGTAGGTAACGTGATTTAGCGAGGGCAGTAGTAGTCGCAGTAGAGCCGACGGATGATATGCAGTCGGCACATTGTGGAAAAATTCCCTCAAGTCGAGATTGCAGAGACCTGCAAAACAAGTTATTCTGAGAACATTAAAGGGTAATAACGCTATAAATGCTAGCAATTGGTAAATGGTCATGGAAAGTTGAAACCGGCGAGTGGACCATCTGACGGTCAGGTGGGGGCACCCATATCGGATTTCTATAAACACCAACTAAACAACAATGCCATCAGCCAGGATATTTATTATCCGGGTTTAAGGTTGGAGAATCAAGAGCTTGTTCGAAATATTTAAAGCTTTCTAACGTTTTATTCCATTTCCAGTAGTTTCTTACTTGCAGAAAAGCTCCACAAATTGGTTTTCCTGTTTAGATCTCGGCCAAATCTGCAACGAAACTTATTTCTATGGATATTTGTCTGCTCATAAAGCTTTTACATTATTTATTAACTCGCAGAGACTTTTTGTTGGAAAAACGAAAAAATCAAATGCATAGAGAAAGTACGTATCGATACTATAGCGTGTCACTAGGCTGCAACAAATCTACCGTAGTCGCCACGAGTTGGGAGAGGGGCAATAAAATGCGTCATCATTTCCACTTTTCAACAAAATTTTGCTAATTGCGACTTTTTAATATTTGTAAAAGACTGGCTTTTCCTGCATTCTTCAATCTTAAACTTGTTTTCCCAGGGCGTTTATGATTTGCGCGTTTTATTTTTTCCATATCCATTTACTTGTCCAAAGTCGCGCCGAAAACTCCAATCATTTCCGATTTCTTCTTCTTTTCCATATTTTTCTAAATCTCGTTTTTCAGAAAAATGCCCGGCGGAAAGAACGATTCGGCGTTCAGCTTCGAGGACTTCCCGGCTCTACCCGGCTCCTCTTCCAACGACAAGCGAGTGCGCGACGACGAGGCGAGCTGCTCGGAGGCGCTCCTCAGTAGCTACCAAGAGCCCACATCCGCCAACCAATCGGTACTTTATTATCTGAAGTCTGAATCTACTTTGCTTTAGTTACAAAGTACTTTCGAAGACACGATAAGCGACAGCCAGGCGCCGAAAGCAATGCCAACGCAATCGGAGACGAATTTACCTGGCGGTGTGTTTATTTTCCTTTTTTTTGCTTATATTTACTGGAAAAACGTTGTTTTTCGCTCTGGGTTAAGAATTCGGAGTTATGATTGATTTATTGTCTTTTTTTTCAGATGAAATAGCGATCCCCGACGGCATGCTGAAGGACCAATACGGGCTGATGGCGATCGCCTCCTACCTGCGCCTACCTCGCGAGTCGCCCACCACGATGTTAGCCCTCGGGATGAACCTGGCGTCGCTCGGCATGGAATTGACATCTCCGGCACCGTAATTTTCCTTGATTTTCGGTTGATTTTCTTTTTTTAGTCAGAAAAACACGCTGTTGCTGCGCCGCTTCGGCGGCCCGTTCGCCAACTTCCCGGCCCGACCTTTCGAGATCGACGTCGAGACGCCGCCCGCCTACCGATTCTCCACCAACCTCCTCCACCGGCTCGCCGGCCCGCAGCTGAACAAGCAGCACGAAGACGTCCTCTTCTACCTCTTCTACAACATGACCGGCGAGGCATACCAGCTGGCTGCTGCGGCCGAACTGTACGGTTTCTATTATTCTTTTTATTATTTTTTTCGGCTTTACGGAGGCTTTACGCTTTTCATCTAGGATTAGAAAAGGATTTTTACGTATTTTTTCACTCAAGTTTAGTTGAATCACTAGTTAAAGCTTTGTAAAGATCTTTCTAACACTTGTTGAAGTCGAAAAATGTTTCGAAGCATGAACTTTTGGTCAAAAATTCTTTTTTATCTTTTTCTTTTTTGGTCCTTTTTGCACATCGTTGACTAAGTTTGCAAAAAGTTCCTCTTTTTCTATGGGAAAGAATTGCGTCAAGAGAAAACTGTATTTTATTTATTTTTTTAGTTACGCGCAAAACTGGCGCTATCACAAGGTGGAATGCATCTGGTTGACGCGGAACAAGTTTGCAAACTTTCTCGACCAGACGGGCTCGTCGGAGCGCGGCACGTACACAGTTTTCGACCCGGTCCATTGGGCAAAGGTAAATTATACTTTTTTTAGAAAATGAATCCTTCTTTTTAGGTACAGCGCCCGATGCACCTCGTCTACAGCGAGCTGGCCGAGCGCCCGGTGGTCGACCCGCAGATGCTGAAGGAACACGGCTGCTCGGAGCAGCTGATAATCGACGCCCAGTCCGTCGTCCTCGCCAACCACCTCCAGCAGCAGCAGCTCGACCCTAAACTGCCTTGATTTATTTATACCTGTTCCCGTTGCCTTTTGATTTTTTAAGTTGCTTTTACTGTTGACTAGGAACACGGTATCTTAATGCGATAAATTGTCACTCTTACAACTTTGTAAAGTATCACACTCGATTGAAAATACGAGAAAGTTTTTGAAATGCTTGTAGGGGACCGGGCTTTTGGACAGGCAATTTCCGGTTGACGCGCTTTTCGGTTTCGCTACAGGAGTTGTTACCTGTAGCATCGTCGATCTCTACAACCGCTTATGCTGGGTATGGGGACCGCTACGTCCTTTTACTGCTGGCATTGGCGCCATGTGTCAGCTCCACCAGGGAATTTCCTCGTTATATCTCCAGCTTTTCCTAATGTAGCAGAATTATCCATTTCTCTCGCTTCTAGTGCTTTTCCCGATATTTACAACTGATTTACTATCAATTTTTCAGGCAAAATGGGTGTCGTGGAGAAGATCCAGGAGATCGAGCGCGAGATGGCGCGCACCCAGAAGAACAAGGCCACCGAATATCACATTGGGTTGTTAAAAGTAAGCGTATTTTTGATTTTTTTCAATATGTGTTTGTTTTAGGCTAAATTGGCCAAACTTCGACAGCAACTACTCGAACCAACAGGGAAAGGCGGAGCGAAAGGAGAGGGCTTCGATGTAATGAAGAGTGGTGATGCTCGAGTGGCCATGGTAATAATATAATTTTATTGAATTATGTATATTTTTAGGTGGGTTTCCCGTCAGTCGGAAAATCTACTCTTCTTTCTTCGCTTACGAAGACCCACTCCGAGGCGGCCGGCTATGAATTCACGACGCTGACTTGTATCCCGGGTATAAACTGCTGTAAAGTGTTTTTGATTTACCGTTTTTAGGAGTCATTGAACACGAAGGCGCGAAGATCCAACTCCTCGATTTGCCCGGAATTATTGAAGGTGCCGCACAAGGAAAAGGTAATGAGCATTAACTTTTTCCAGTAATTTCTGGTCTGTTAGGTCGTGGTCGACAGGTCATTGCTGTCGCAAAAACGGCCGACTTGGTGCTGATGATGCTCGACGCGGGGAAGAGTGACCAGCAACGAGCACTACTTGAGCGCGAACTCGATTCTGTCGGCATCCGGTTAAACAAGAAGAAGCCGCAAATCTACGTGCAAATCAAGAAGGTACATTATTTCCTATAAAATCGTGTTCTTTTTAGGTGATAAAGTAGTTTTGCTATGAGATAGCCGATTCGATCGAACTTGAGTTTCCAAACAAGCTCCATAGTTCTAAAAATGCTGAACTAACCGTATCGATAAATCGCGTGAAGTGTTCATTTCGGTCAGCATGCTGAAAGTTGGTAAAATCGTCCGCTTTAGAGCGTATGCTTGCGAACGCCATTATAATTTTTAGTCCTTTTTTATAAATGGCTCTTTCAGAATCTCAAGTTCTATCGAGTCGGCTATTTCACGTCGCGAAAAGCTCTCTTTCTAAACACATTTATTTTCAGGGTGGCGGCGTCCGATTCACGCACACCGTCCCGCTGACCCACGTCAACGAGAAGCTGATCATGCACGTGCTCCACGAATACAAGCTGTTCAACGCCGACGTTGTTTTCCGAGAAGATGCGACGTAAGCTGCCTTCCTGATATCGACATTTGATGTTTTTTAGTATTGACGAGTTCATCGACGTGCTCCAGGGCAATCGCGTCTACATCCCGTGTCTCTACGTGTACAACAAGGTCGACTGTATTTGCATCGAGGAGGTGGATCGGTTGGCTAGGTAAATTTTGAAGTTAAAACTTCGTAGTATGAAAATGACAGAAAAATATTGATGATTTTCTTTTTTCCAGACTCCCCCACCACGTCGTAATTTCGTGCGAGATGAACCTGAACCTCGACTATTTGGTGGACGTCATCTGGGACTACCTGGCGCTCGTGCGCGTCTACACGAAGAAACCCGGCAATCAGCCTGATCTTGGTATAAATATAATGTAAGCGATTATAACAGTTTTTAGGCCCCGAGGACGGCATCATTTTGCGAAGGGGCGCGACGATCGAGCACTGTTGCCACGCACTCCATCGAACACTCGCCGCGCAATTTAGGTGAGCCCGCCTTGTTCTTTTTTCGGGTATTTTCGTGTTAGCGGAGAAGCAAGACATTTTTTAAAGGATTTTTGGCGGCGATGTAGTTTAATTTTGGCCATGTATCCAGCATTGACGAGCTTTCTACATTTAACCCCACGGGATAAAAAGGTAGAAACTTCGAAAACCACTGACGTTTCGCTATTTTTGCAAAATGATCAAAAAGGCCGGATTTTGATTTTGTTATACGGGAGTTTTTGTAATTTTATGCATCGAAAACTCTCAAAAAAAACAGGAAAAATTTCTTACATATAAATTCTAAATCTTTTTAAATTTCTTTTGATTGGAATTATAACTATTTCATTTACCATTTTTTCTAGGTACGCAATCGTCTGGGGCACGTCACCGAAATTTTCGCCACAACGGGTCGGCATCAAGCACCTCCTGGACCACGAGGACGTCGTGCAGATTGTCAAAAAATAATGAATTTTTCCGATTTTGCTGTTTTTGTGATAGTCTTCGTGTCTTTTCGAGCCTTGCCCCCGTTTTCGGTGACACTGTCTTGTTGTATTTCCCTGATCAGTGGATTTGTTACAGTTTCACCGTTGTTTGTGTTTTTTTTGGTGGTGCGCGAATAAAGAAGAAAATAAGCTTTTGCTATTTACGATCGCAAGGTCTTGCATTTTTGCGGGTGTATTTTGATAGATTCTGTGTACTCCTCTCTTTTCGTAAATTCCGAATAGTCCTCTTGCTGGCCGAGATTGAAATTGGCTTGTCTTGTTAACACGTTAACATGTTGCTAGCGATCCGGCGGGGTACCGCGACTGAGTTTTCTCTAATCAGCCATACCTTTAGTGTGGCATTTGCATAAACAATCGGCGCGGAACCCACCGTCTGGGATGAAAGGTCAACTAGGCGGGCAGATACCCAAGCGACAGATTTTAAGGAAGTAGCTGACCTCAGCTATAAATTATTTTTGCTATTTTGGTCGGCGTCGTTTTTTCCTAACAGCCGATCGGCAGCCGTTACAATGCCTTTTTGGAAGTAAGCGTAAAAGGCATGGTGAATTTTTAATGTAGTGGACTTATCACCCGCATCGGCATGCTGTTACAGTCACGGGCTAGACGCGCACGGGGTGGGGACGGGCCTAGGGTCTAAGGCGGCGGCGGAGGACAGGCCGGCCTTCGATTCCCCCCGCTAAAGACCGACACTTTTCTTTCTTTGCAATTTTGAAAGGCACCAACAACAAATCTTTAGCAAATTCCAGTAGAAATTAACAACCACCAATCAAAAATCATCTTATTTTTCTTAAAATTCATCCTTATTTTTCCCGCCCCAATTTTACTAAATCCCTCCTATCATCCCAGGCGACATTTCTAATTTTTTTCGAAAAATTTCCTTTAGCCTTTTCCCCATTTTGGGACTCCCCATCCCTCCCGATCCCCTTCCAATAGGCCTAGAGCCTGCAGTGCCGCTTCAGAAGGCCTTGATTCTAGAGCCTTTAGAAACCTATTTTCAGACGAATTTTAATTATATTTCGTCCTGGAGAACGCTCGACCAACAAGCCGGAGCCGATGGTTTTTTGACCAATTATCCCCACACTTCGGAACTTCCACACTCGAAATGGCTCATCGTTTCCCACACTTGTTCGCGGTACCCAATTAGTCGATCCGTTCGATTTGAAACCTCATATTTTTAGTTTACCTTATATCGGTATAGCGTCCGATTTGAACCCATTTTAAAATTTTAATACTTTTTAATAAGACTTTTTTAAATATCTTTATCGAACTCGAGCTATATTTTGTACCGGCGCTGATCGATCGATCGGCTTATTCCACTCCCCCCATCCAGTCTTCTATGTCAATCGATCCCAGCATTTTCCCCCCTTGGCAAGGGGGGTGGGTAGTGTTGAGGGTGAATGATTGTTGTCGAGGGGAGGGGGGTGCACCCTCCCTCCCGCCCTCCCCCCTTTCTTCTCTCTTCTTCTCTCTTCCGCTCTCTTTCACCCTCCCCCACTTCTTTCATTTTGGGGGGTTGGCGGGAGACCCGTTGGGGGGCTATCGATCCACCCATTGGGGGGCATCGCTAAATCCCGTCAATTTCTGGCCCCGATACCGGACCTGAGAGTTCAAATGGTCTCTGCTAGCATGCCCCTATTGGCTATAGGGTCATTCTTGGGGCTCGAGTTTGAAAGCCAGCAATTTCGAATTTCTCGTAATTCTCTTGATTCTCGTTTTTTTTTGGCTTAGGAATACGGTATAAAAGATAAAGAGAGAGAGAGAGAGAGAGAGAGAGAGAGGGAGAGAGAGAAAGAGATAACCGGATCACCCTCAACCGTTTTAAGGGCCTCAAAAGGCCTGCTTTAATGGATTATCAAAAGAGGAATTTAAGCTGACTGCCTTCTACGGCTCTTTAAAATTTTTAAAGTTCTAGAAAATTGGGAAAAACGCGCTTTTTGGAGTATTCTCTAGCTTTTCACTCACCGCCTCCTAGGGCGACCGTAATCCCTGATTTTTCTAAACAAACCTTTCTGGCTTCTCTACCGTATTCAGCATTGTAAATCCGCTCGAAATTAAATTAATCGTTACCGTGCATTACTGTACCAAAATTCTTTTGGATTTTGGCGCAATTCCGCATTTTTGGGCATTTCAATTCCTTACTACAGTATTCCCCGATTTTTTTGAGATATCACTCTGAAAATTTAAATATACCATACCTCACCAGCTGAAAATTCTCTCCCTCCCCCTCTTTATAAAAATGGATCGGGTTGTGGAGGGGGAGGAAGGGGGGATCACCCCTCCCCCTTCACAACCCCCCACGGGACACCCCCTCTCTCTGCTTCTCTTTCCCTCTTTCCCGCTATACCCTCGTTTTCTTTCTCTCTTTCTCTCTCTCTCTCTCTCTCTCTCTCTCTCTCTCTCTTTTCTCTTCCCTCAGTGGGCGCGA